CCAGAGTTCAAATCCAAGTAATACTTAAACTTTATAGTTATTATAGGTAATGCCACAGAACCAAATCCAAAGCACCACCACATATCACAACCTCTGTGGTTCAGTGGATAATCACGTGTCTATCATATGTGACAATCTGGGTTCAAACCCAGCAATTGCAGAACTTTCTATTTATATACAACACAGTTCTCAATGAAACCCCATCTAAACTAACCTCAATCCTTCAGGCTCTGTAGCTCAGGTGATAAAGCACTGCATTTTAATCATGGAGAACTGAGTTCAAATCCCACTATTGCTTATGATAAATTGCTAATGTTATATACAACAAAACGGCCCAAAAGGCAGCAGTTGAATTGAAAGCCATGATGGCACTAGTGGCTAAACACACGTAGGTTGTAGACAAGACTATGATAAAAACACGGCTTTGAATCCTACCTCGGTGTGTGGTGGTCACTCCACGGGAAAAGAGCTTTGACAACAGTGGACTACCAAATAATGGAGCAGGATGGCAAAAGTGGAGGACTCTGGGGTAGTAAAACAGACTGGCTGCAGCCATGAAAGCCATGGACAGACTGGCAAACATACCTGGGATGGTAAGATAGCCACGATGGGAGAGATGAAGAAAAGAGAGCCTCATGTGTGGTGGTACTCTTCATAATGGAGGCAGAGGGTGACTCGGGGGAGAAGAATTGTTGAATGAAGTCCATATTTTTGTTTTCTTTGCACACAAAAAGTATTCTCATCGCTTCATAAAATTGCGGTTGAACCCCTGATGTCACATGGACTGTTTTACCGATGTACTTACTGCGTTTCCCTCGGATTTCATCAAAAATATCTTAATTAGTGTTCTGAAGATGAATGAAGGTCTTACGGGTTTGGAACGACATGAGGGTGAGTAATTAATGACAGAATTTTCATTTTCGGGTGAACTATCCCTTTAACTTTATAAGGTGAGCCCTATCCCTTAAAAAGGGATGATATGAGCCAATGCTTTTACCTTCTTTTTTTCTCTTTTTTTTTTAAGGGAAAAACCACAACTGTTGGGTAGAGGTCATAAGCTCCAACCACTCAACCACCTCCATTTGGTACTGTTTTATTTTAAGAAATAAACACTTTTACACACATAAAAAATAAATAAATAAATAAATAGTCACAATTGTCTAGGCACAATTAAATAAATATAACCAGATTGAAAAACATGAAAAATAAGCAAATATTTAGAATTATAATGTTAAAATCTCCTTCTCAGACCAAACTCTGGAAGTTTACTAGAAATAGAGGATGCCCTGGACTTTATTTGTATGATGGGAAAATTCCACACTCACAAAACACCATGCCTTCATTTTAAACCTAATTGTAAAATATTCACTTCTCATTTACTTTTGCTTTACTCGTCATGTCACAGAATCTCCTCCAATAGAAAAGATTTAAACACATACAATCTTATAGAACAATTAATAAATAAGTAATAACTTGTATGGTTATGATTTATTTTTTTATTATTTTTTTTACTTGAATAATTATATTTAAATTTTTATTGTATCCCCCACATGTTCTTGTTCTAACGTTTAGGTGAATCTTTCTGGTATTGTTAATAATAATAATAATAAAAACTCAAGATATTTGAAGTTTTTACAGACAGAAGCAGATTCGCTTAGAAGAGTGTCGAATGTGCGCGCGGTGTGTATGTGTGACACGTCATTCAGCAGCTCGAGCACGGAAGTGTTTCCACGGGTCTGCCATCAGAAAGACAGCGCTACTAAAGTATTTCATCCAGAATGGGTACGTCTGCGTTAAATAAGATATATGTTGTTGGATATAATGGACAGTTCATTTTAAAATGCGATTAATACGAACGCTTTTCTGTGTGCTTACAAAGGGAAGTTTGCTCATCACGCATTGGTTCGCCTGGTGACGCTAGTTTGTTTGCTAGCATAGCAGATATCAGAATAACCCATGTTATTGAAAAGCTCGGTTTTAAAACATGTTTGACTCTTTTCATAATTAATGTAGTGTTTTATTCGAATGTGTTTGGGTGTGATTCCTGTAAGCGACATACATGTACTATGATTCTGAGAGATACTGATCTAAAATGGCATTAGTTCACCATTTTCTGTTCAATAATTTCATATAATTCTATTGTTTTTACAGGGGGCTTCTTTTCCAGCCTCTTCTCGGGCCTGTTTGGCACCAGAGAGATGAGAATCCTCATTTTAGGTTTGGATGGAGCTGGAAAAACTACCATATTGTACAGACTTCAAGTGGGAGAAGTGGTGACCACGATTCCTAGTACGTGTTTATGATGATTTATGTACACAACTTTACACATGAGATGTAGTGGGAGCTAATTTGCTATTTTTCGAACACAGCAATTGGTTTTAATGTGGAAACTGTGACATACAAGAACTTGAAGTTTCAAGTGTGGGACCTCGGTGGACAGACGAGTATCAGGCAAGACGTTTTCAATTTGCTTTGTATTACACTGATTAAGAAAGAAATCGAGCTAAAGATTTAATCTCCGTCTTCCACAGGCCGTATTGGCGGTGTTATTACTCCAACACAGACGCAGTGATTTACGTGGTGGACAGCAGTGACCGTGACCGAATGGGCATCTCCAAATCTGAGCTGGTGGCCATGTTAGAGGTTGGTCAGATGTGGTTTCTGTTGCGTAACTTTCCATTGTTATGCTGTGTTTCCCTTTGTGGAATGGATGTTAAAGGCTCTTCATGAAGCCAAAGATGCCAATAAAGTACCTGTATTTCAAAGAGTTTAGTCATCGGTCCTGTCTTTCAGGAGGAGGAGCTGAAGAAAGCCATTCTGGTGGTGTTTGCAAACAAGCAGGACATGGGACAGGCCATGACGCCAACCGAAGTGGCTAACGCTCTCGGTTTACCTGCGCTCAAAGATAGGAAGTGGCAGATCTTCAAGACGTCTGCTACTAAAGGCACAGGCCTGGATGAGGCAATGGAATGGTAAGAGTTTTACTTTTTGACAGTTTGAATACAAATTGTTTGCATTGTATTTACTAATACCTCCTGTTCGTCCACATTTCAGGTTGGTTGAGTCGCTGAAGAGCCGGCAGTAAATGCAAAAGCGCCGAAACATCTTGTAAATAGGAACTTCAGAGACTTATTATTGGGTGTCCTTTGGACCAATGACTGCGTTCTTCCTATTGTGTGAAGACCGTCCTCTTTTCCCGGTTAGTACAGAAACGTTGAGCGGCATTGAACGGACTCTCCACGAATGAACTCTCCCTTTTTGCTTCTCGTCTCTACTGATGCCTGTGTTTTTGGTAAACTGTATTCACTACATTTGTAATTTCAGAAATGTCTGCTTTTTAAATTTAGCCTAGTTTCGGAATAATCACTGCAGCTCAGTTTGATATTATGTGGGTAGATATTTAAGACTAATGGCATATTTATATTTGCACGTGTACAGGCGCACACGTGGCTGTGAAATAAATATGCAGTCGACACATATGGCATAACATAAAAATGGCTGGGGCTGTTTTTGCACTTTTTTTTTTAAATTTAAAAACATTGCACAAGTTGCAAAAATCCATATACTGACACAGACCCTCTCAACTGCCATGTGCACATGTGGCGATGTATTATTTAGCAAACAGCAGCAAAATGAATCAGCTGATTATAGCCAAGTCTTTCAGTGACGTGCTTTTATGTTTCTTTGCTTTATGTCCTGTACGCACAAATGCGATTTTCTGCTTTTTGGCCTCGTTTTTCTTTAACTGCTTCTTTACCTTCTTTCTGGCAGCAATGTCAGGATTTACAACAGCCTGTCAAGGGAAATCATGAATAGAATTACCATTTAATTTGTACTTTTGTTATAAAGATGTGTAACCTGGAAATTAACAAACAAATGGTTTCTTTATAGTTGTCTCTGAAGCCTAGAAGAACAACAAATTACACACTTAAGCAGCTTGATTTGAGCAGCATTTAGAAACATGTTTTACCTGTATGGCTTTGGCTTTCTTGCGTGAAGCTCGTCTCTGAGCGGCTTCTTTCTGCACTGCGGCAAAAGCCAGAGAGAATCGCTCCAGACCCACCAGCTTCTTCAACAACTCGATCAACTCCTGAGCCAGATTCTTAGTGTGGGGTCTGAAACAAGAGCAAAAGATCAATGAAATGTCAGTTTCACCCACATCGTCAATGATTGAGATTGTCACAATATGCATTTAGTTGTGACATTCTAATTTAGTTTTAATTTCTATTTTGCTTTCAGAAATGTCAGCGTTTTTGCTACATGGAATCTAAAGCAGCTTAACCCTGTAAAAACCCATGAAATAAGTCTGTATCATGTTTGACTTTTATGGCACATATTGTATGATATAGTGAGAATACAGAGCTCACACTCCAGAAGGAACATTTGTTTTGAGAAATTTGATGCAGTCGCTGACTTATATGGGCAAAATATAAGATGAAATTTTGATCTTTATGACATAAATCATAGCTTAGAGCTTAAAGACTAATGTCTTAGTAATATAATATTTTAATGCATAGATTTAGGATCAAAGCTCTATAGTTTAACATGATTTTTCTAAAAAAGTATGTATAATCAAATAAACCTAAGTTGTTTAAGTCCAGTAAATGTTCGTCTTCTACTATTCTACTAACAATATAAAAGTTGTTAATATGTTTACTTCATACAAAATCAGTAAAGATTTCACAACAAAAAGACACGTGTCGTACGACCTGAAGGTTGATATTTCTACAATTATGCTAAAAGGCCTTTTGAATGCAATGAAGGCCTTTTGCTGACAAGTATAAACTATCAATCAAATGACAGAAGGCCTGTAGTATACTGTGCACAGCAGGTTTTTCAAGTTTTGATCATTTAGAGGTTATAAAGTTAATCCGACTGAGATATACTGTGCATCAACAACCTAAAATAAATATATATATATTTGAACTGAAATACATTTTAGTCAAGGTTATAGATTTATTTATTTTTCCCAATTGTGCGTCGTCGTTTTTTCCCAGATGACAAAACTCTTCATTCCATGTAGGGTTTTTCTGTTTCTACTGTAAGGACGGTGTGAACTGACCTTGGTCTGCATATGTGCTGTCCAGCTCTCTGTAGAGAGGAGCGATGATTGGTCAGATACGGCCCAAGTCGATCTTTTCCGAGATCCACAGCTATGGCTCCCAAGAACTTAAAAACACAAGTTCTCTAAAAAAAGAAAACAGTAACAGAAAAACTTGTTTAACTTTGCAAACCTTTGCTTAACTCGCATCCCTGAGCTGGAGAAGATCCTCATATTTAGAGGACATTCCTACCAGCGATCCATCTGTATCATTCAGAGAAGTCAAGCATAAACAGAAAGACTGATTTCACACCCACCTTCAAAGGCACTTTCGGCGTGTCTGCTGCTTCTCTTTTGGCCAGTAATGAAAGCTTCTTCATCACCCAGAGGAGAGACGGAGGCCTGTTCTCATTCTGTTGCTCCTCAAGCTCCTGCTTCTTATCTTCCTCCCCTTCGTTCTCCTCCATGTTATCCGTCGTTTCTTTCTCCTCACCCTCCTGTTCTTCAGCTGGATTTGTGGTATCAGACTCTGGTGAGATGAGGTAGATCACTTTGGCCACATAAAGCAAGTTCTTCACCACCTGATCAGAACAAAACAACAGGAAGTTAACATAATATTAACTTGGCAAGAAAAGTACAATGAAAACTGAAATATTACAATAAAGTTAAAACATTTTTTACATTTGATACATTTTTACATTTTAAAAAATAGTTTAGTTTAAAATCAAAAATAGTTTCAAATCAAACATTTAGACATTTGTGTAACAAAGAAAGTCTAGAAAATCAAATAGGAAAATAATGAATACAATCAATACAGTTTATAAAGGTATACTGAGATATACTGTGCATCAACGACTTAAATAAAATAAATCATGATTTTTGTGTTAATCAAAAAAAATAAGATTTTTGTAAAATTTTTCCCCCAATTTTTTTAAAATTAATTTAATTTAGTTTTTTCTTTCCATGTAGAGTTTTTGGTGACAAAAAACAAACAAACAAATAAAATGTCATTTATTTGAATCATTTCTGATTAAATAATTGAAATATAATTTATACAAGTAAATAATATATTAATATAATTTATACTATTAAATATGAAAAGCCACCTAGAAAGTCTAGAAAACAAATTAAATAAGACAAATACAAATTTCTGATGTTTTTTATAATTAAAAATAATTACATAATATACTTAAATTATTATTAATATATAATTACACAACAAACACACTTTTTGAAAATGTTTATTATTTCCTACCTGCTCTCCAGCGGAAATATCCAAGAACTTGGACTGCAGTTGGTAACAGAAGGACAGGACCAGCTCTCTCATCTAACGGTTTCGAAACAAAACATTCATTAATTCAGTCTGTCTTCATGAAATGAGCGTTTTAAGTGCAGCTTCTCAGGGCTCTTGCCTTCTGAGACAGGTTGTCTATGAGAAAAGCAGGGGCCATAGGCTGCGGGGTTTTACTCATGTTCTCCTGGGAGCTCCATAAGGCCAAGAGCTCCTCTGGTTTACGAGCAGCAAACAGCAAACCAAAGATCTGAGACGCCGTCAGCCAGTTCCAGCAATGAGGGTAACGCAGATGGGAATCAATATGACCTGGAGAGAGCGAGAGAGAGAACATGAAGCATCTCAGGTTCATAAGTGCAGGTTTATTAATACACTGACTCGATTTATCTGTACGTGTTCATACTCCAGATGCTGTTGAGCAGGTCTGCGGGTTTGTGGAGCTCCAAAAAGCTGCATTCTTTGATGAGTTTGACGACGAGCGTGAGGTAACAGAAGAGCAGTCTGTCTGCAGCCTTCTCATCCTCCTCTTCCTCAATCTGATCAATAATATCATAGCCATTATCAATGCAAAGAGACTCAAACATGCAAAATAAGTCTACATACTATAAAACTCTGCACTCACATCCTCAAAGTTGGAAGCATGGATCTCTTTCTCAATGAGAGGTATCAGGACGTCCAGTCTCCGGTTGAACTTTTCCCCTTCAAATTCCACAAACAGCCCACAAACCTGAGCTCCAAGTCGCCTCAGAACCACCTACAAAAGCCCAAACCCCAAACTGTTATGACCAAAACACATTTTAAGCAGACTTTTTCACCTTTTAGTTTTCCTACTCACCTTCTCGCCCGTAAGCCAGGTGTTAACCAGGTTAAACATGGAATTTTGATGCTGCAAATCCAGCTGACTCAGCAGACTTGTTGGCCAGAGCTGTCATTTTCTTACAGGTTGCAGAATCATCGTTCAACATGGCCAACGACAAAGGCACAAAAAACAAACCGCAGTACTCATGCAATAGAGCCTGTGAACAAAAACACATAATTATCTTACTGTATTATAAACACCAAGTATAGAATAATCTGCATAATGTAAAGCATTTCCAAGTCAAACTGAATATTCAGGAATTTTTTTGTTGAACAATAAAGTGGGATTTAAGCCATTAACTGAATAAGAAAATCGTTCCAGAGGCAAACCAAGTTTTTGATCTTTTTTTTTCTTCAAAATAACTTGCTCTGCACAATAAGGAATGCACATGAATGTATGCAGTGTTCATTATAAAACATTAAAAACATTCTGGTTCCTTGTTCCCCAATTGTAAGTCGCTTTGGATAAAAGCGTCTACTAAATGAATAAATGTAAATGAAATAAAATACATTTTAACTAGGGCTGTCAAATCAGTTAATCTCAATTAATTGCATCCAAAATAAAAGTTTGTGTTTGCATGATATGTGTGTACTGTATATAAATACACACACGTATATATTTGGGAAATATATATTATTTATGTTCTAAATATGTTATAAATATATATTAGGTATATTTCTTGAACATGTATGTGTGTATTTATATATACATATATACACAGTACACACCACATATCGTGTAAACACAAACTTTTATTTTGGATGTGATTAATCACAATTAATTGATTTGACAGCCCTAATTTTAATTTAAAGAAAATATATATGTAAAACATTTTGGCAAGGCAACGCTTTTCATTTTCGTGTAGTCCTTGAAATAATATACATTTTAACTGAAATAAAATATTTTGTAACAATAACAATTGTCTAGTTGGCAAGGCAACATTTTTAATTGCAGTTAAACTACTACTAAAAAACGAAATAAAAATTAATAAAAACTATATATATATATATATTTTTTTTTTTTTTAACTCTAAATCAAAATTAGAAATGAAAACAGAAAATATACAAATTAATTTAAAATATTACTAAAAACTACAATAGTATCTCATTGATACTACAATGTTAATATTAGTATTGCATGACCATTTCGGACTGTTTTTGTTACAGTACCTGAGGAAATTTCTGGAAAATGAAAGCCATCAGCTCCAGGGCAGACTGTCTCCCAGTGTCATATTCATAACTGAGAAGAGAATCAGAAAACAAATATTTGAATTTGCCTGACATGAAGGAAATAATTCACATCTGCCTGTTAATAATCAGCTGCTCTAAACTTACGTAAGCTGAGCAACTATGAAGTCAAAATGTTTCCTGAGTTTCTTGCCCAGTGGATAGTCCATCAGGTACTTCAGATAGATCTGCGGTCATAGCAGAGGACAGATATTAGTCTGATGATAGTCCTGACATGCATAAACCTGGATGATGATGATGAAGACTGCAGTATCCTGACTGACCTGTCTGCAGCGCATGCGGACCTGTTCGTTTGACCCGTCGATGGCAAACTTGGCTACTTTTTTCATAACATCCTCCATCTCCGGCACAACCAGCTTCCTGGAGAGAATCGCCTGCAAGACAAACAAACCATTCATTTCCATGATGCTGCCATGATTACTGGAGGAGGATTTCTAAAAACCTTTTTGATTAACACTGATTCACTAATGAATCATCAGTCTGACTCACTGAAAAAAAGAGCTCACATCAATTTTACTCACATAAATTTTACTCTATCAAGCCAATCACATACTAATAGCAGAGCATAACCAGTGCTATCTTAGTATCATTGATAGACTATTATAATTCATTATTTTGAATTCTAATGTTATTTTTACATTGTCAGTTTCCATTTAATTTCGGCTAAAGTTTTAATAATTTTGTTGTGTTTTTGTCATTACTATTAGTTTGTTTTTAAAGTATGTATTTTCTACGTAGTTTTTATTAAATGTTATTTTTTAGCTTTAGTTCATTTAGTTGTAGTTATTTTAGTACTTCAACTTAAAACAAAAAAAAATGGCAAAAATGAAACAAAAATTGGTATTTTAATATCATTGAGACACTATTACAGTTTTTATTAATGTTTTACTTTTTTAAATTTTTATTAAAATGTAATAATTTAGTTGTGTTTTCGCCATGCTTGAGTTTTTTGATATGCCTATATAGTTTTTAATCATTTTTATAATATAATATAATACCTATTTTTATAATATAAACTTTTTTTAATCATTTAGTCTTATTAATTTCATCACATCAAGTTAAACTAAATGAAAATGAGAAATGCTGCCTTAAAACTTTTGTTTTATATTTTATTTCAGTTAAATTTCATTTTATTTCTAGGAATAGGCATGTTTTTTATGGTTTTAGTTTCAGTTAGATTGGCAATTAGCTTAAATAATTTAAGTGTTTTTATATTTTACTTCAGTTGATGTTTATTTTATTTCAAGTAAGACATTTTAATGATTTTGTTTTTAGTTAACAATAATAACCATGAGCATAACTAGTAAAAAGTGCATTCACTATAAAGTGTTAGAATATGCCTCATCTGACAAGCAAGTATCTCAGATGATCAAGTCAGTCTAGATGAGTAGGTTAAGTTACCCTCAGGAGGCCGAATGCGGTGGCTTGCCGCAAGCGATCATAAATATCCTCCTCAGCATATCCCAGAAGCACTTGCAGCTGTGTTTCTGTTACAGGTTTTCTCATGCTCTTCACCAAAACAGAAATGGCCTATAAAACAGAACATGTCATGCTGGATTATTCACATTTAGACTTCAAAACGAGAACATGAGATAGTGGTCAGGGTCTCTCGCACCTTAAAGCAGTTCTGAACCAGGTGGAAGTTCTCTCCACGGCCGGCTCCGGCTTTAGCGTAGTCCTTCAGCAGGACAAAGAGCTGCTTGGTCAGCTGATCGTAATTCTGCTCCACCGCCGGCAGAGGAAACTTCAGGATCCAGATGAAGGCCTGCAGAGCCTCGGTAATCACCTGATGTGCACAAGACAGCTTGCTGTATGCATGCAATTACATGTATGTAAAGAAACTGCTGCAATCATGCACAATAAAACACATGAATTAAACATAGGCAGGACAGACCTTCACATGCATGGAGTTAAGACAGTCCAGGAGGAGAGATACGAAAGGATCCAGCATCTCCTTTACTGACGGGACAGACGAGTTGATCTTTGAACTCTTCAGACAACAGTGAAGCAACTGGGGAAGAGCGATTTTGGTGGTTAAAGTGATATGGCATCAAAATATTTGTGAAATATTAAGTGGTTTTCAAAGTGTGTAATGAATACTTTTGAGCAAGGATGCATTAAATTGATATAATATGACGGTAAAGACTTTTAAAATGCCACAAAAGATTTAAATTTCAAATAAATGCTGTCCTTTTGAACTTTCTATTCATCAACTAATCCTGAAAACAAATGTATCAGTTTACACAAAAATACTAAGCAGCACAACTTTTCAATATTGATAAGAGATGTTTCTTGAGCAAAAAATTTGCATATTGGAATGAATTCTGAAGTAACATGTAACACTGAAGACTGGAGTAATGACGCTGAAAATTCAGCTTTGCATCACAGGAACAAATGACATTTTAAAAACATTAAAAATAGAAAACAGTTACTTTAAATTGTAATAAATTGTATTTTTGGTCAAATAAATGCATCCATAATGAGCATAAAAGATATCCGTCACAGACATTTATACATTTTACAGACAACAGTCAAAATAAATTCACAACACAATCTAAATTGGTTGCTTGCCATTTAGCAAACGATTTAATTCAGACTGATGTACAATTGCCTAAATGCTGATGGAGTGTGATTTGAATCATTTCTGCTTGAGATTGAACCTCATTTACTCTCCCAGCTGTCAATCAAAAACCAATGCATTATTTTCTTACACTGAGCCCCGTTTCCACCAGGATGTGCATGTTTGTTCTGCTGCTGATGGCGGCTTTCGCTCCTCTAAGCAGCACAACTTTTCAATATTGATAAGAGATGTTTCTTGAGCAAAAAATTTGCATATTGGAATGAATTCTGAAGTAACATGTAACACTGAAGACGAGTAATGACGCTGAAAATTCAGCTTTGCATCACAGGAACAAATGACATTTTAAAAACATGAAAAATAGAAAACAGTTACTTTAAATTGTAATAAATTGTATTTTTGGTCAAATAAATGCATCCATAATGAGCATAAAAGATATCCGTCACAGACATTTATACATTTTACAGACAACAGTCAAAATAAATTCACAACACAATCTAAATTGGTTGCTTGCCATTTAGCAAACGATTTAATTCAGACTGATGTACAATTGCCTAAATGCTGATGGAGTGTGATTTGAATCATTTCTGCTTGAGATTGAACCTCATTTACTCTCCCAGCTGTCAATCAAAAACCAATGCATTATTTTCTTACACTGAGCCCCGTTTCCACCAGGATGTGCATGTTTGTTCTGCTGCTGATGGCGGCTTTCGCTCCTCCTCTCTTAGGAGTGGCTGGCAGCAGTAAACAGCTTGGCGGAGGCAGGCGAGGATCTGGAGGTGCTTCTCTCTGGGTGAATATGGGATGTGAAATTGTTCAAATTAGATCTGATTAAACCAGTTCTTATGCATCCCTGAGTGTGTGTGACATACCTGTTTTTGCTGGTAATGAGCGGCAGACTCTCACTGACGAGTCCGTGGCTGAGCAGTAGGATGGACTGAGGGCTCATGCTCTGATTGAGCAAAAGTCCCGCCACAATCCTCCTGAGCACAGCATGCACTCGCCTCGACACCTTCAGACTGGCTGTGTTCTCAAGTATCTAGAAAGAGGAAGACCAGATTAGTCTCTTGAGAAATCGTGAGCCTCTTGTAGATGCAGCGCTTTGGTTATTCACCTCTTTGAGTGGCAGGATGAGGTGAATGACGCGCTCCTGACCGCAGAACTGGCCGAGAAGCTCATACGAGTCGGAGCTCTTGCTGTGACGGGCCTCCATCACTTTGGAAACGATTCCTTTGATGTCCTTCTCCTCAGCTACAGCTCCAAATAACTCGTTGTTAAAGATCTGCGAAGGGTGCGGAGAGTTAGTGGATAAAAGGGCATGATTGTTTGAAATTATTATTGAAAATATATGTGCCATTTACCGCGATGAGCATGTCCATGCATGGGTCGAGATCCCCTCCAGTCAAGGATGGTTTTAGAACAGAGAGCAAATGGTACACGGTGAAAGTCAAAACATGGACCTGAAAGAAAATTATACGGTTGGTCCAAGTCTTTCGAGTTATTCAAAAAGACAATACAAATTCAATTCAAACAGAAAAAAACATAAATCTTCTATGAGCAGCATTCATTTCTAATTTCAGATTCATTTTGATATTTTGCATATCAATTTTGTTTTGCAGGCCAAAAATCCTTGCCATAAGTATAGTAATTATGGCATAATCTCGTATTTAATAAAATGCTGTTTTGTTTTCAAATATTACTACATTTTATTAAAATTAAAATTACATTATTATTAATTTTGTCTGGCAAAAAGCATTACAGTATTTTTTTTAAATAAATATTTTAGATATTTTTATTTTTATGACAAAGTTCTATCATGCAAAATCGAGTAACCCCAACAGAACTTCAATTTAAAAAAAAAATAATATATTTTTTTAAATATAATACTTTTTTCTTTTCTTTTTAATGCCATGTCAGTTTCTATGCTATATTAATGGCGAGAGCCAGTTTTAGTTAATCAAAAATAAAACAAAATAAGATGTTTAAGATTAAATATAATTCATTTATAAAACGTATACAGTTGTATCTTGAAAAATATCTTTGAAAACCTTTTATGATAAAATAATGACTAAAGGGGACATGAACTGAGAAACCAAAATTCTCTTGATCTTGAAAAGCAGTTCCTGACCCTTTTAAATATGCACACTCAAGTGCATTTAAAGTGTTTTTAAAGTGTTAGAGGAATATTTTATTATTTTTACCTTAAATTTATATCTTTTTTTTTATGCACAACGTATACAAAATGGTATATATTTATATTTCCAAACTGTATGAAACCAACATCACATATACAAAGATTACATTACTAATGTGTTTTGATTTAGATTTTTTAATTTTCTCCTATTTAACCATATTCATCAGTGACACTTATCATTTATGAAATACTCTTTTCTTGCATCATACACTCGCGTGCTAATAAAGACTATATTTTACCTGATACCCCTTCACTAAGACTGCCTGCATCTCGCTGAGCAGATAATGAAGATATTGATGCCCAAGCGTCTCTATGATCTTCACCAAAGTGTTTCGAGCAACATCACGGATCTCCTGGAAACGGCTCCTCAGGTGGACACACACTTTCAGGAAGATGCTGTAATATAAACATCAAACTGAGCATAGCGTCACGTTCTGATGTTAACTGAAAATGCTGCACCATTTACCCAACTGTTGCACTGATGAACACTCAAAATTAAAGAACAGCTGGAATATTTGCAGCACAACTGGTGATCAATCTCTCCCACACTCAAACAGAAACTTATATTAAGAAAATTAGCAAATATACCCAGGCAAGTTGGCTTCCATGACCTCCTTTGGCAGAGACTTCATGAGCTGAA